AGCAAGCCTGGTAGCCATGAGACAGTCACACTTAAAATGGACGATGATATCGCTGTTGTAAAAATCGATCTGCCACGTGTAAAAGTTAGTTTCTTTTATCATTTCGGATGATTTTTTTTTCTGGTAAACTAGCATCAGTACATCGGTAGGTGCATATCGAGAAGTCAAATCGTTGAGCCGAGTGGTGGCTCATGTCATCAACAGTCATCCCTTTTTTTTGTTTTTTTTTTCGATTTCATTCCAAGGGCTTTGGATTTTATTTTTTAATTTTTTTTTTTTGATTTTAGATTTTGATTTTTTTTGGTTTCAGTGCAGTTGTAGGCGCATATCGAAAAGTCGAATCGTCAAGCCAAATGGCAACTCATGTCATTAACAGTCACCCCTTTTTTTTTCGATTTTATTCCAAGGGCTTTGGATTTTGTTTTTGGCTTTTTTTTGATTTTATTTTTTGATTTTTTATTTTTTTAATTTTTTTGGTTTCCGTACAGCTGTAGGAGCATATCGAGAAGTCGAATCATCAAGCCGGATAATAGCTCATATCATCGACAGTCACCCACCCCTTTTTTTGATTTTATTCCAGGAGCTTTTAATTTTATTTTTCGCTTTTTTTTTGATTTTTTTGGCTTTATTTTGTGGTTTTTTATTTTTTGATTTTATTTTGATTTATTTCTTCAGAATTACTACTTTTACCTGAAGAAATAGGTTAGAAATAAGTTTAAGTCAAGTGAATTTCTGATGTGCTGAATGAAGCGGCTGCTGTTTTTTTTTTTTTTTGACTTCTTCGGCTTCATTTCGCCGCTTTTGTTTACTTTTGATTTAATTTTGATTTGTTTCCTTCAATTCATTAAAATTTACCTAAAAAATAAGTGAAAAATAAGTTTATGTTAAGTTTGAGTTAAGTGAATTTTTATAGGAAAATGTGCTGAATGAAGCGGTTGCTGCCGACTTACAACGATGCATCGAACATATTGAAGCGAATGACAGTATCAAAGGAGCTGTGCTTATTTCCGGAAAACCAAACACATTCATTGCTGGTGCTGATATCGGAATGCTTTCCCGGGTACTTTTTTATTGTCGTTGAAATGACAATGTTTTTTCCAGTATCGTCATACTGACGAGGTCGTGTTGCACGGTGTTGAGTTAAGACGTACATGACTTTATGTTAGCGTATATGACATTATTTTAGCGTATATGGCTTTATTTTTGTTTTTACTTTTATCTTTTTACGACCTTTTTCATAACCATAAAATATCTAAATTTAAATCAATGGACCGAAACGTCTTATCTCGCTCTTACCTTCTTCTTTCATACTGTTATCTCATCGCTTAGCCATTCAAGCTTCCACTGTCAACCTGGTTGCTACAATCGGTTTATTTGAAATGGCTATTAGTTCAATGATTTTTATTTGGGACGTTTTTCATAGCTGAAAGTGTATTATTGACTTTGAAATTGAGCTGATCTCATTCACAAAATACCATGCATTTTGGTTAGCGGATTGGCTCAGTACGTTGTTTTTTATAACATCCCGTAAGTACCATTCAATTATTCTTTTCTTCCATATTTTTGCAATGTAAATATTTTAGCTATGTAGGATTTTTTGGCACAGTTCAGCCTGGTGTATGGGAGAATTCAAATAACGATTTTTATTCCTAGTTTTTTCTTTTCTTTCATATTCTTGCAATGTAAATTTTTTTAGCTGCGTAGGATTTTTTGGCATGGTTCAGCCTGATGTACAGGAGAATTCGAATAACGATTTTTAGCCCTGATTTTTTCTGAGCGATTGTTAGCAATCCGACTACAAAATTTTATTATTTTCGGAATTCTAATTAATTAAAACTGGTTTTCATTCCCCTCACCTTCTTTTTCCTTTTTTTCTCTTTATTTCATCCCTTCTTATTATAACTTTCTATTAATTTCCAAATTTTTGAATTATTTTTAATTTAGATTTTTTCGGTTTTTATAATATATACATATTTTTGTGCACGTAATTTTAGTGTAAAAATTCAACGGATGCGCGGCAAATTTCGGCCGAAGCACAG